TTGGTAGTACTTCGTTCAGTTGCATTATTGCTATATTCCTTTGCCAGTAGAGTATATTGATAACTGTACCGGTCAAATATCACGTGACTACAAGTTTATTTAATTTATGAAAATGCTTAATATATACATATTTCATTAATCTCGTAAAAAAAATGTATTTACAATTATTAACTTATTACAGCTTACTTATTAACTAGTTACGATTTTAATTCTGAGGCATCAAAACGACAAAAATGTCAATGATGTGGATATTACGCAGAACCAAATGGGGGTTATTGAAACTATATCGACAGAATTTAGTTTGGAGGTAGTTCTATAAATATCTCCCACAAAAAATTGGAAAACTTCTTGTCTTTATTGTTCAGGCAAAATGAACAAAAGTGGAACAACTTTACTAACTGAAAGTGTAGATTATACTTATGCATTTTCAATGAAAATTTGCTATCATGTTCATTATATTCATTCAGTAATACTAGACCACTCACTACATTTTATCCTGTTTTTACTAACCTGTCCAATCTCCTATCAGGACTATTCCAATGCTTCTGGAATTGTAACGGGGAGCGTGGGCCCCTACAGCTGTCCAACCTCGTCCAACGTAAATTCTATTGTCCCCTCCAACAGCGAAGTTATATCCAATATCGCACCATGAATTATTTTGCTGAAAATACATATAAGAATATTTCATTCTATAATACCCTAAATTCTCAAAAAATAATCCTAAATAATTCAGATGCTATATGAATGTATTTTGTGCCAAATACACGTGGGTATTTAAGTACAGTGCTGTCAAGAATCGCAGGGAAATGAAGTGTTGTTAGGTATAGAGTTATGGTTTTAGGTAAAGTGATAAAACGACACTCTAACCCGAGCTCTAACCTAAATACATCGATCTCTTATCTATCGGAGTTCCGTTTTCTAATGTTAGGTAAGTTTTTACTTTAATATGATTTCTAAGTCGTTTTAAAGGTAATTGCTTGATATTTGCGGCTAATTATCGATTGCTGCCGGTTGCTCTCTCATTATTCTTTAAATTTTCAGAGTTAAAAACTCGGTTATTAATAATTTTTTTAAAAATAGTAAAGAGAAAATATGTTTTTTTTTTTATTATTATTGATTTCTACCACCCCTAAAATACCTCACTTATTCTTGGGACACCTTGTGTATAATCAATACCGTATAAGAAAGGGCGGTGTCTCTGTTGAGAATATTTTTCACAGTTAAATAGCCGGGGCACATAGCGCTTTAGCTTTATACAGGGTGTCCCAGAAATAAGTGCAAGTATTTAACTGGTATAGTTCAACCCCAAAAACACGCAAAATTTGAAAATTCGGAAATTTTTTAAAAAAAAATTTTTGGAAATTTTTATTTTAATTTAAAAACATAATTTCTTGATAATATTACAACATAGATATTATATAAAATAAAAATACTAATATTTTTTTAAGAAATATATTCCTCTACTGTCAGTGTCATATATGGTTGATGTTAGCATCATCAGCAGATGATTAACTGACTGATTAAACTGACTGAGTTCAGTTTATAATCATCTGCTGATGACACTAACATGGTTAGAATGATTAACTGACTGATTAAACTGACTGAGTTCAGTTTATAATCATCTGCTGATGATGCTAACATGGTTAGCGAAACGCGCGTCCAGTTTAAAAGTAAAAGTGTTTTGGTGTATTGTGGTTATTTAGTGTTTTTATTTTGCTGTGTAACACCAAAGGTTCCAACCCTCAACTGTAACATAGATATTAGATTAAATTTACAAGAAAATCCAGAAAGATCCAGTGGCTCTCAAAATTTTAGCAAAAAAAAAACACTTTTTTTAAATTTTCAAAGCAAAATAACCTGTTATTTTGGACTTATTTGAAAAACGGTGAAGAGAAAATATGCCTTTTATCGAGATCTACCACCCCAAAATTCTTACACCCTATTTCTGGGACACCTGTATATGTTGTTTATTATGGAATTTAGGACATTTTACAAATAATACATGAAAAGCCGAGTTTTTGACACTTATTTACTTTAAGACTTCATATAATATGTTACCGTAAGGCTCTGGATCGCAAGACACTTTCTATTGGGGAAAGCAAGTCTAGAACCGGAATTCCTTCAACAGAGCCTTAAAAACCTTCATATTCCTTCAACTTCAAATCCTAATCGAAAATCGACAACCAGGAAACTATAAACCCTTCCTGGACACAAAAACGGTACATTGTGAAACAGGAAATTGTAGAGAGAAACAAGGCCCTATAACATAGGGAAACAACATTTTAATGAACAGTGCTTTCCGCTAAAATCACTAAAATGAAAAAAATATACGAAATAATATACGTGTACTGGATTTCTTTCGAAAATCGACAACTATAAAACTATGGTCCCTTCCCGGACACAAACTGTATTTTGTGAGACAGGAAATTGTGAGAGAAACAAGCCCTATAACATAGGATACAACATTTTAATGAACAGTGCTTTCCATAAAATCAATAAAATAAAAAATATACGAAATAAAATACATGTTCTGATTTCTTTCGAAAATCGACAACTATGAAACTATGATCCCTTCCCCGACACAAACGGTATATTGTGAGACAGAAAATTGTAGAGAGAAACAAGCCCTATAACGTAGGATACAACATTTTAATGAACAGTGCTTTCCATAAAATGGATAAAATGAAAAATATACGAAATAATATACATGTACTGATTTCTTTCGAAAATCGACAACTATGAAACTATGATCCCTTCCCTGACACAAACAATACATTGTGAGACAGGAAATTGTAGAGAGATACAAGCCCTATAATATAGGATACAACATTTTAATGAACAGTGGTTTCCAAAAAATTCCAGATTTTGTAAAAATCGGTAAATTTCTTGTATTTTACCTATTTTATATTTAGGAGAAAATTTTTAAAAACTTATTTCCGGTTATTTTTGGACAGCGATATATTTAAATAAACTTATTATTAAAATAATAATACGATCAAAAATACTGTGATAGACACTCGACAGCAGTATTATAAAGTATGTTTCAAAAAATTCATTGCTTATGACTGCTTGAACCGAGAATAATTAATCATACAAGTCGCCATGATCTGCTGACTTATTAGATATATTTTCCGTTTATATATTTTTTTCAACATTAAGAACTTTGGTTTAGTTATGGTGTGTGTGGAATAAGATGTGTTAAAGATAAAAATGTATCTGTTAATTTTTTGTTAAGTGTAAAAATCTTTCTAAAATTGCGGACTTTTTGACAGTAACATTGCTTCAAACTGAGGCGTTCTTAATTAAACACCGTTAAAGTGAAAAAATAGATGTAGGAAAACTTCTACTATATTTTAACAATTTTTATTGTGCAAAACTGCCAAAAACCTTCATATTGTCTTCTTTTTGTAAAAGAAATTCTTCAGTCCTTCATTCGGCGAAATTTGACTGTAAAATTCTTCATATTGAAGGAAATCCTTCAATTCGGAGGGATAAGGGACTGGGTACAGATATAGGAAGGGGAGAAGCACAGTAGACCTTATTGTCACTTTAAAGGTTGCAGTGCTTCCGGCATGCATATAGGAGGCTCCTCAATAGTGAAACTTTTTTTTAATTTAAGGCTGTATTCCGTTGCAAAACCAGGCAAACTGAAGCGGTAAAGAGCGGTTCCTGAAAGATATCGGTTTGATACGGAACGGTTTGGTAAAATAATGGAAATGCCAAATGATGGCGTTTTCTAAATTTCAATACCTTTATTATAAAACTTATCTTTTATGCATTTTTAATGTACCTATTCTCTGCTTTTACGTTTGCTTCTTCTTTTCAATGCAGTTTAATATTGAAAAGTACTTTATTAATGAACTGTTAAACTCGTTAGACAGATCAAGTGAAGATTTGCAGGTCCAATATTAAAACAGATCAATAATAAATAAACAAATCTAATGAATATGTATATTTTTATAGCTTACAAAAACATTCACTATTACTTGTTGTCTTGTTTTTCATATTTCCCTTAAATGTTCCTGACTAAGAAACAATGGCTGCATGATAAGTTTAAATGGTTCTAAAAATAATTCTATTTAGTTAATGAAATTTATTTACCTTTACCTGCCTCCATTGCTTTTGGAATACAAAATATTACTACAAATTTTATGAGAATTAAATGAGAATTACACTCGAACTTCCAATATTTGCTTGATTTCTGTCACATAAATGACATTGATTGACAAACAAACCCAGAAAAACCAGCCTTCTCGCGCTGCGCTGGTTAGTTTGGTGACAGTTTGGTGACAGTCCTTGGGTGACAGTTACAACCGAATTTTTTACAGGAACCGTGTTCCGTAATAAGAAAACTTTCAGGAAACCGATTGAAACGGAACATAAAACCATAACCAAGGTAAGCAATGGAATACACCCATGATACAAAGAATACAAGGTATGATATTGCGCAGGTTGGTCACTACGTCACAGGTGATAAACGGCACCATTGGTCGGCAAGCTCTGCGCATCAATTTCAAATTGTCAAACAGATTGTGTCATCTGTGAAATTTGATTGTGTCAATATGTGAAAATAATTTTTCAAGTGTCAAATTCGATGATTTGACATAACTTTTGGGGTTATGTCCTAATTCTTCCCTATTTTAGGTCTTTTTTTATAAGTGGCAATTGAACAATATGGATATTTTTTTGTATGGCGTATGACGTCACAGGTGGTATGCGCAAACTTAACGAAATTGGAACCGCTATCGATCATACCTTGTTTTCTTTGTACCATGGAATACACCCACACCCTAAATTACGAAAACTTGTCACTTACTTGATGATACTTTTGCATCCATTGCATGTCATTTATACATTCCTCTTTTGTTGAACAAGCTGCAGGTATATAACTGTGGTGTATGACGAGGTAAGGAACTGGTAGAGTTAAGTTTTCAACATCTGTGGGTGGTTTGGCACCCCATTCGTCCCTCGTAACTATTTCCGGGTCTGTACATACGAAGCTGTTCGCAACTGTAAACAAAAATGACAGGATTAGTAATTATTTATTTATTTATATTATTATTTTTAGTTTGCGTATACAGGGTTCGGCAATAGTGCTACAGGCATATGTAGCTTCTAGAATAAAAAAATTTGGGGATTGTGCTAACCTAAAGCACAACCTAAAGTATGTATGTAGGGTAGACGCACCATTTGTGGCCATTGACCCTGTTGTAGCCACTTCTTTAAAAAATCTTAAAAATTAATTTTTTTCACGTCATTGTGACAACCGTGCATATATAATTTTCTAAATTGATATATCCAGCGCCATATGCAATAGAAAATATTCAAATTTGGTGTAAAAGTCGGCCGTTAGACCAAAAAGTAGTAGCGCATATTTGCTAGATGCTGTTTTCTTAACCCATTTCTTAAGGATAGCTAGATCAGTAGAACTCAAATTATTAATAATAATCTGTATTGGGGTTTAATTTTCCATGATTTTTATAAATATTATACATCTAGGCAACTATTTTTTAAATTTATTATATTCAAATAATTAATATTTAGGATTTATTTGTGTGGCCACAAAAGGTGTGGCCACAAATTAAATGTTAATTATGTTCTACTTGTAGCCAGGTTATGGCCAAAAATGGTGCAATCGAAATCTAGTTGTGGCCACATATTATTTAGCTTTATAATGTAAGTGCAAACGACGGACAACATAATATGAAGAACATTTTATTTGTTATTATTCAGCTTTTAATAAAAACTGAATAATAGTACCTAAATATAATAATATCCCAAATACAATTATAGGCCAAGATTACCAATCTGAACATATACCGTCTCAATAAGTTTTCCTTCAGATGAGAAAATGAAATATAGATTTAGAACTAAATGGAATAAATATGAACGAATGCGATGAAAATAAAAATTATTAGAATTCAAAGGAAGATGATTCAGGACCACTAGACGAAACCATGCAGGAAAAGGACTAGTAGACATAATTATGAACTAGGATGATGCCCGGGAAGATGTTAATCTTTAAAAAGTACGAGGCTACATCTACCATCAGTCATTACCTATGATAAGTGGATTGAATTAATGAAGGGAAAGGAGAAAAAAACAAAAACTGAAAATGAAAACTTTACAAAAAAGAAAACAATTAAAATAAAATTTAAGGAAAATAAAGATCTTTCTAGTAGAAATAAAAAAGAGACACCAACGCCAGCTTAAACTTATGTGACATCTGCTGAATTAAATATAGGAAATTTTATTATTAGTACGGGAATCAGTTGAATCCAGGAAAAATATTACAAATCGAAAATAATTAATATTATAGCTGCGCAATGGTTCAAATCTGCGGCAATTGGAAGACTTGCTTTGGTACAAACTGAGTGTTATAACAATGAAAATTGATGAATCTAAAAAAGTCAATTCAAGAGATATGTGGCTACCTCAACTAACAAATATTCAAGAATATTCTGATAAATTAGTGTACTTTTCTTATTGTTCCTCACAGTAGTATTAATATGTACCTAATTTTTATTTAACATTTGTATAACAGATAAAAAGCAAAATAAGGTATTAGGTATCACTTGATTTGTTTTAAGAATAAACGTTCATGTTTTTTTTGTTAAAAATATAAAAAATTAAGTACCAAAGTCTCTTTTTATGTCTTTTTTTTAAAGAAATTAATAAATAAATAAAAAATTATTTGCTTAGTTACTGCAAAATTCAATATAGAGAATACTTTTGCAAGAATGTGGCCACAAATGGTAGCAAATGTGACCACATTGGCACAAGGTGGCCACAAATGGGAAAAATCGTATGTTTTCATAAAATAATTATTTTCTGTTTATTTAGAATACAAATCTTTACAATAAAAGCAGATTTTGAAAGAAAAATGTTTGGAGAAGCACCAAAAATTTTTTTTATCTCCAAAATTAACTACAAATATTTTTTCTGATAAGTCAAACTCTAAAAATCCCTTAACCTGGCCACAACCGGTGCTTCTACCCTACTAGGATGTATTTCAGTACTTCTATCGGGTGGCTCAAAAAGTGTGAGTTGATCGGGATGATTTTTTTTAAATGGAACACCATGTAGGTATATTATTGCATTCTTGGCTTTCTTTCAGATCACTTTACATAACCCTAAGATACAAGCAAATATATTTCGATAGTTTCAGAGATATTAATAATAAATAAAAAATATACATATGTATATTTTCAGCCTCTCTTGAAATAATTATTAAAAATTGAAGAACTGTCCTGAAATCAAAACTATATTAGGTACTTACTTTAGATGGTCTGTACTTACTTTGCTTTAAATATGGTAATCGTAAATCATACAGGATGTTCAAAATTCTACGCCAAACTTTCTATAATATAGAATAGCCTTTCTTCGTTACGCAGATATTCGCTGTTTTATAATTTATGTGGAATTTTCCACAGTAAATTTTTATCAAAGCCACCCAATGATTTTTGACTCGTATTTTACCGTTGAAAGAGCCATACGAAATAATACCTCCGTGTATTCTAGCGAAACCATTAAAAAATTTGAAATACTTTAAATACAAAAATGTTAATCTATTATGACATTTCATGATAATATCAGGTAAGTATAAACCATCTAAAGTAAATACCTAATATAGTTTTGATTTCAGAAAAGTTCTTGTATTTGTAATAACTTTTTAAGGAAGGTTGAAAAATATATATTTTTTATTTATTTATTAATATTTCTGAAATTATCTAAATATATTTACTCATATCTTAGGATTATGTTAATGATAGAAAGGAAGCCAAAAATGCAATAATATACAGGGTGATCCATTTAAAAAAAATCATCCCGATCCACTCACACTTTTTTGGGTCACCCTATAGAAGTTAAAATATTTTTCTGAAATACATCCTGGTACATACTTTAGGTCTGCACTTGAACAAAATTCTCGAGTTTTTTTTTATTCTAGGAGCTACAGATGCCCGACGCATTATTGGCGGACCCTGTATATTCTGTGACTTAACTTTTAATCCAATATATTTCGAAATTCTCCAATTTTTTCTTTCGTTATAAGTTTAAATTTTAAATCAACCTAAAATTCGAAATTTAAAGTTCGTGACACATCTAGAGGTGGTACCTTAGAATTTTGATGATCTGTCAGTGAGTCACTGTCGAAATTAAAGATTTAACAAGCGATAATTCATAAACTATTAGGTATAATTTATAGATATCTTGGCAATACCGCCAGCTATAGCATAGCTATAGCTGGCGGTATATGTCCTTTTGATTAGTAAAAATTAATATTCTTGCTATTCACAACGAAGTTACAGGGGGGGTCAAAAGTACCGTTAGTTGTTTCGAAAAAAAAAACACTGACAAGTTAGTTTTTTGGATTCTACGCAGTGGGATTTTATAAAAATAACTTTTGTTTCAAAGTTTCAAAGATTTCTCTTTCATGGTGAAATACCCAGTCTTTTTCAAGAAATGAACCCCCCACAAAGACACACATTTAAAACTTCATTGTTTACGAAATAATTTCAATTAGTTTATTTTTATCAATTAAATAAGACAGAGCGAAAATATTATTGAAAAACATCTTATGATTCTTAATGGAGTTATTAATAGAAACTAAATTATTATCAAGAAAAAGCTATTATGTTATTAATATCTAAATTAAATAAATGTGAAATGTGAAATAAGTAACACATGAATTATTAATTTTTGTAAATTTTTTACAGCTGGTTTTTTTAATACCCTATTAAATTCAAAAAAATTATAATCCATTGATAATTTACACCAAAAATACTTGGAATACTCCATGTATGGAAATAACACAAAATGAGTTATCCTATGAGGTATTTTAAATTGATAGGATATGACGACACATAGAATATGACG